ATCCCTCACTGAGCATCCACGACCAAATTATCCAACTCTTCCTGAGCGTATGTGCTCAGGCTGTCCCACTTATTCTGGGGCCTAGAATCCGCTCGCGACTAAAACTGCTCGGGGCAAGCGGAGCAACAACACCAAGGCGACCCTTGCCACGCTATCCGTAGTTTTTTTTAACATCAGGGGACTTCATTCCAACTTTAACGCTGTTCACTACCATCCGGAGAAGGTGAAGCTAGCCTTGCTCGAGACTCAGGTGTCCTCTCCAGCCGATACTTCATATATCCCCTACCCTGGGTACAAATGAGAACATTCCTTTGTTGCCCGGGCTGGAGTTTGCGTATACGTCAGGGAGGACATCTGTTTTCGACGCCTTGGTAGTATTGAAGGTACGAACCTGTCCATCCTATGGCTGCGCGTAGACAGCGACGACCATCCCTACGTTTACGGGTGCCTCTATAGGTCCCATGACGGTAATGCCGAAACAAACCGACTCATCGACCACGTCCAAATGGCTACAGATCCCATCTGCAGAGATCGTGATCCTTGGTGGTTTTAACGCCCACCAAGTCGAATGGTTCGGTTCACGTTTAACCGATCATACGGGGAAATCTGATTATGACTTTGCCTTGGCATATGATCCGTCACAACAGGTTACTTCGCCTACGTGGATTCCAGATATGGAAGCTTATACACCTTCCCTGTTGGACCTTCTGCTGACCTCTCATCATCCAACTACAGGCTTATCGTCATCATCTCCTTGTTCTCCAAAATAATGGAGTTCATTATAAACTGTCAGCTCATGAGGTACCTTGAGGTTCACCAGCTGATTAGTGACTGCCAATACAGTTTTCGTCTTGGCCGATCAGATGGCGATCTTCTGGTTTACCTTACTCATAGATGGGCGGACGCAGTAGAGTCCAAGGGGGAGAAATTAACCGTTAGTTTGAACATAGCGAAGGCCTTCGATCGGATCTAGCACGAAGCGCTTCTTTAGAAGTTCCGTTCCTATGGGCTTTCCAAGAAATTTTTGCAATTCCATCACCTGATCAGTTTCCTTGCTGATCGGAGCATCACGGTAGTAGTAGACAGTGCATGCTCTGATTACAAGCCTATTAATGCTGGTGTATCACAAGGCTGCGTGCTATCGCCAACGCTGTTTCTTCAGCATGTGAATAATATGTTGCAAACTGGTAACATTCATTGCTATACACCGGCCGCGCCATAATTTTTGGGAAAACGTCACCGTGTACCGGGACAAACTTGTGTCTGAAGTCGAGTCTTTGCTGAACAAATTCTCGGATTGGGGGCGACTAAATCTAGTCCAAGTCAATCCCCAGAAGACACAAGTTTGCACGTTTACCGCTAAAAAGAGCCCCTTTGTCGCATCTCCTCAGTTTTAAGGCACTCCCCTTGCTGCCTCAGCTAGCATCGGAATCGTCGGCGTCGACATATCGAATAGTGTGCAGTTTCGTGGTCACTTGGAGGGTAAGTCCAAATTGGCCTCTAAAAAGCTTGTCGTGCTCAGCAGAGCGAGACAGTATTTCATGCCGGTACATCGCTTGCAACTTTACAAAGCGCAAGTTAGGCCTCACATGGAATACTGTTCTCATCTCTGGGCCGGAGTACCCCAGTGCCAACTTCTTCCACTTGATCGCATCCAGCGCAGAGCAGTTCGAATCGTCCACGACCGAATTCTTTCAGATCGGCTTGATTCACTGGCGCTGCGTAAGGATGTTGCATCCTTTTGCGTTTTCTATAGCATCTAACACGGTGAGTATAATGAGGAATTGTTCGGATTGGTTCCAGCCGCCAAATTTCACGAACGCTCATCGCGTCAAAATTCACGATACCATCCTCACCATCTGGATGCTTAGCGGTCCACCACTGTGCATTTTATTAGGAGTTTTTTTCCTCGTACTGTGGAATTGTTTATCACCGGCGATTTTTCCGGACCGATGCAACTTAGGGACTTTTAAGAATAGAGCTTACTCCTTTCTAAAAGGCCGGCAACGCACCTGCGAGTACCCTGGTGTTGCGGTTGTTCATGGGCGGCGGTAGTCACTTACCATCAGGTGAACCGCAAGCTCGTTTGCCCCCTCTTCTATAAAAAAAAACACGAGGATATCCTTTATAAACAGTTGACTTAAAAGGATGAAACAATTAGGACTATTTAGCAGCGGCTTAGTAAGGGTTGGGTATATTATTAGAAAAATTAAAAAAGTAACAGCCTATATACGTCCCACAGCTGGGCACAGGCCTCCTCTCATTTCTGAGAGGGTTTAGAGAAGAAATGTCCACCGCGCTGCCCAAATGGCGTGTTAGCGAACTTCACATGTCTTCGAAATATTTTTTTCTTATTTCTCAGACGTGCAAGTTTCCTCATGATACATAGTACGTCAGCACTTAAAATTTCAATTAACACTTTCATTGATGCCGACTGGGATAGAACCCGGGTTTCTCGCTTATTGTGAAATTTACCCTGAGCTACCTCGGCACTTATATCGAGCATATCATTACGAGTATATTATTAATCTATGGGCATGGGTTTCTGTCGCTTGAAACCGCTCTCCTTACCAATTTTCAAATATTTTTTAAAGTATAGTAGTAAGTAGTAGTATACACTAACCACTAACCACTTAGTGTAGTGTAGTGTACACTACACTACACTAACACTAACACTAACCTAACACCGATTGGGAATCAAAAATCAAATGCGTTGTCACCATTGAGGACTAAGATGGAATGCCTTGTTTCCAGAAAAAAGGGTCACCGGTTCTCTACACTCACCATACGAAACACAGCAGCATTAAGCTGCTACTTTACGCTAGTATTCTGTGTGAGCGTGGTCCTTCCCCCGGTCGAGCCGACCCATTCATGCTACAGCCATAATACAGTAGATCCGCGGTAATCCGACAAACGTTTTGCAAGGCGTTGTCGGATTATCAAATTTGTCGGACTATAGAGTACTGCCACAGCCCCCTGGTAGTCCGGAACTTTTTGAAAAAGAGTACCTTGTAATCCGACAAATTACATATCAAATATTAAACAATAAAAAAAGTCATGTGAAATTGAGTAAATGATGGATGCCCGTTAGGCTGCAACCCCATAGTCACACCTAAACTGTGACAATGGCCTGAAATAAATGCAACCTGTTTGTCCACATATTCGCGGAGAACACCCCCCCCCCCATAACGGATTTATTTAAGGCATGTCGGATTACAAGGGGCGCGGACTAGCCAGGGGTCGGATTATCGAAGGTCTACTGTATAGCTGCAGCGTGGCGTGCAGCATCAGCACCTATATTCATAACATGATCAAAAATTAAATCAAAAAACATTATATCATAGTTATAATCTAAAACATTATAGAATAGTTAAATTCCTCAGGGTCATATGGCATGTTTGAATGTAACTCTGAAGCTTGAGATACCAAGAACTAAGTCCGGTGGTTAAACTGTAGTTAAAAAAAACTCGACTGCGAATAAGTCCTTTGGAAAGAGAAAAATCAAGTATGTCACTATCACAACTACGATGAATCTAACGACTCTATGTCAACCATGCGTTTAGGCTACAGAGCGTCCCAAAGACGTAGACATACATACACATGCACTTGCAAAACATACACTTCTTCTGGGTCAGTCGGCTAAAAAGTCAAATAGGTTAAAAGTAAGCTTAATGAGCATTCAGATCAAATAAGTTAAAAGCTTGCTTTTGAGGTTATTAACAGAAAAAATCCTTAAAGGAAGATTGTCAAAGAAAACCATCAAAATGATACCAAACGCGAGAGATTGTTAATCTTTAACCTAAGTGTTATTTTATTTTATTAAAAAACAGTAATACACAATTTTAAGTATTTGTCAAAAAAAAAAAAAACGATTTTTGATTTGCCCTGTAATGGCGGCGTATGGGAATCCTCTACTCTACACTATTTGCAGGTGCACCGTGCACCTACATTAGGAGCCACGGACTTTCCACTAATTTGTTAAAAGTTTTTGGTGAAGTAAAGCATTTTTTTTTTCGAGAGTATAAAACACCACACACACGGGCCGGAGCCAAGTGTGTGAGGGAAATTTAAATTGTAAAATTGGATGATAGAGTAGAGGAAGTCAGAAACTTTCGGGTGATGCGACAAATGTTGAGAATGGTGGCTTTTTGGAGCATGTGAAGTGTATTTATTATTATTATTATTGGGGTATCTATGTAGTTTTCTCATTTGGTTGGGTTTCATAAATATATAATTGTAAATGAAAATGATAAATATACATAAAATAAATACATAAAAATACATAAAATAAAAGCCGAACCAGATGGAAGCCCTCAGCAGGGAGACCAAACAGCCGAGGAATAGGGGGAAAGGAAAGAAACCGGCGGACGATGCGGGAAATTATGATGAATTCCGGCGGTCTCGTAAATGCGACAGAGAATGGGTTGCCCAAAAACGCCAAGCCTCACTCATTCCTCGTTTTAAAAAATAATAAAAATTATATAATACATATATACGTATATACTTATCCTTACCCTTGGGAAATGCGTGTGTGTAGAGCATCTCTATTTTCAGAGCTTTCAATGCGAAAAAAAGTATCCAGTAACAGGTAATTTTCTTTTATTACTGTTTATGCGAATTTATCATTAACTGATTATGTGTATTTGTTTTGTATCTATCTACCAGGGTGATATGATCTAATAGATCAAAACCTCTATAATCAGTAAAGATAAAATAACAGTTAAATGCCAGATTTTTAGTGGCATTATTTACAAAGTTAAGGTGGGGAGCTGACTTTCGTTCCCAAAATGGCGCTCACTCTGACGCTTTGGACCATTAAGATCGGCTGGACATAAAGATTCATTTTTCGGGATCATGGTGACTTCAAAACGTGTTGATATTTAGAAACTTAAGACTTTCAATTATCGGACAATACAATTACTACCATATGAGAATCCACCAGAGTTCTCGTCATAAAACTTGTATAGCAAGCTAACCAACCTCGTTCTTGTTGTTTGATCCTAGCCTGCGCCCGCTGTAGTTCTCTTGTCCAAATCGTCGTCTCCGACAGTCCTTGGTCTCCACACAGCTTTACGATGAGTTTTAAACCTAAAAAGAAGCTTTTGTATAGATTTACCTGTCTAAAAGATAACTAGTAACCAATTGTGAATAAAAGAAGTCGAATCGAAAGTAATAGATGGCAACTTAAAAAATGCATTCCGTATTTTATTTTTAGATGACATCCTGGCTCCTTGTTAATTTCTGAAAAGACACGTTAAAAGCAAATATGTAATTTTCGAACGGCTCTGCGTAATGGAAGGAATTGTGCCTCAACATCTTAAAGATCTTAGCGCGACTGCCGATGACGCTGCCAGGGTACTTCTTAATGACATTACAAAACTATATAATTTTATGCTTTTTGGTATTGGTAATAAAGATCATATACCATCAAAAAAGGATAACGCTATCTGTCCTATTGCCGTTGGTTCTAAACTTTGATGCAGATTTCCTTGTGAAGGTCCTACTAACCTAAGAAATGTTTATGAGTCTATCTACAGTGTAACCATTTTTAAGCGGGTTACGCATACCCGCCTCGTGCCACGCATCTGAGGAAGAACATGATGATGACGATAAAGATGATGATGATGATACATTGCTAGTTTAATATGTTATAAATTATAATAAAACAATAAAAAATCTTACACTGAACATTGTCGGGGAACCGTGCATTGAGTTTCTTATACAACGCCAGTGCTTCTTGATACTTTCCACTCGCACGCAGGCACCCACCCATCAGCAAACTCCATTGTGGCTAGGGGCCAAAAGAATATGTTGATAGGAAATCGAAAAGAAGTCAGTCAGATCCATGAGGGCTAATAATCTTCCGCCCATCAGATGTCACTAGTTGACACTGAGGTGATTTTTTTTTGTTATATAATGTCATTGTATTGAAAAAAGAATATTTTAATAACACACAAAACATTGCCTCACTTGTTTGCTCTTTAATTTTTTGCATATTTTTGACTCTTTTTTTTCTACTTTTATGAATATCTGTGGTTTGGTTAATAATTTTAATGTAATAAATATAAAATATAATTAATAGTACCGAAAGAAAAATTAACATTTACAATTTTCGAACAAATTAACTTTTCCGCTATGAAATCTGTCAAACATTACTCCTTACAAGGTATATAGCGGCGTGAAGTGGAAGCTCTGCTTCCGCGTTTCGTCTGGTGAGTGCAGGTGGCCGGAGGCCCAAATCCCCCCTCCCCATCAACATGGTAGCGGAATTCAATGATAGACTACCCCAGGAGGGTACCAGCACCCCTGGAGAATCCCTCGCTGAGCATCCACGACCATGTTTTTCCACTTCTGAGCGTGGGTGCTCAGGCTGCCCCGCGTATTCTGGGGGGGGCAAAATTCCGCTCAAGACTAAAACTGCTCGGGGCAAACGGAGCAACAAGACCAAGGCGACCCCTGCCACGCTGTCCGTGAATTTCTGCAATATCAGGGGACTTCACTCCAACCTAAACGCCGTCCACTACCATCTCGAGACGGCGAGGCCGGCTCTGCTCTTTCTGACCGAGACGCAGGTGTCCTCTCCGGCTGATGTCTCGTATCTCTCCTACCCGGGGTACAAACTGGAACACTCCTTTGTGCCTCGGGCTGGAGTTTGCGTTTACGTCAGAGAGGACATCTGTTCTCGACGCCTCGGCAGACTTGAAGGTTCGGACCTGTCCATCCTTTGGCTACGCGTAGACAGCGACGACCATCCGCGCATCTACGGGTGCCTCTATAGGTCCCACAGCGGTAATGCCGAAACAGACCGACTCTTCGACCACGTCCAAATGGCTGCAGATTCGTTGCTACAGCAGATCCCCTCCGCAGAGATCGTGATCCTCGGCGACTTTAACGCCCATCACGCCGAATGGCTCGGTTCACGTTTAACCGATCATGCGGGGAGATCTGTTCATGATTTTGCCTTGTCATATGGTCTGACACAACTGGTTACTTCGCCTACGCGGACTCCAGATGTGGAGGATCATGCACCTTCCCTGTTGGACCTTCTGCTGACCTCTCACCCGGACGGATATCAGATTTCCGTCGACGCCCCTTTAGGCTCCTCGGACCATTGTCTTGTCCGGAGTGTGGTGCCACTCACGCTGAAATCGCGGTTGCATTCTGCAGGCTGCCGCCGTGTTTGGCACTATAGGTCAGCCGATTGGGATGGGATGCGGTCTTTCTTTGCATCCTACCCTTGGGGGGCGGGTTTGCTTCTCGCCGGACGATCCCAACGTTGTTGCGGATTCTGTCGCTGATGTGGTACTTCAGGGTATGGAACTTTTTTTATTCCTTCCTCTGTGGTGCCCATTGGAGGCCAATCTCGGCCATGGTTTGGTCGCTCCTGTAAAATAGCATCATGCTATAAGCAGGAGTGCTACCAGGCCTGGGCTGACGCATCAGCGTCCAGGGATGTAAACACCAGCGCTCTAAAAAAGAAGTATAATTCCGCCTCTAGGTCCTTCAAAAGAGTCATTGCCAAGGCAAAGTCAGAGCACATAGGCAGAATTGGCGAGAAACTAGTTCGTCTTCCTTCTGGAACCCGTACATTCTGGTCTCTCGCCAAGGCTGTCCAGGGGAATTTCTGTCAGCCATCTCTTCCATCTCTGCACAGGGAGGACGACTCACTGGCCCACACCGCAAAGGAGAAAGCCGATCTTCTAGGCTCTTTCTTTGCGTCTAACTCGACTCTCGATGACGGGGGGAGTACGCCGCCGACCATCCCGCGGTGTGAGTGCTCCATGCCGGAAGTGCAGTTCACTCAGCGCTCGGTTCGCAAAGCACTCCTCTCCCTGGACATCCACAAGTCGAGTGGGCCTGACGGAATCCCCCCAATTGTGCTGAGGACGTGTGCTCCAGAGTTGGCACCGGTTTTAACGCGTTTTTTCCGGTACTCCTACTCCCTAGGCGTAGTCCCAAAATCATGGAAGACGGCTTTCGTCCACCGGATCCCTAAAAAAGGCGACCGCTCAGACCCGTCCAACTACCGGCCTATCGCCATCACCTCCTTGTTCTCCAAAACAATGGAGTCCATTGTAAACTGCCAGCTCATGAGGTACCTTGAGGATCACCAGCTGATTAGTGACCGCCAATACGGTTTTCGCCGTGGTAGGTCAGCTGGTGATCTTCTGGTCTACCTAACTCACAGATGGGCGGAGGCAGTAGAGTCCAAGGGGGAGGCATTGGCCGTTAGTTTGGACATTGCGAAGGCCTTCGATCGGGTTTGGCACAAAGCGCTTCTTTCGAAGCTCCCTTCCTATGGGCTTCCCGAGAAATTGTGCGATTGGATCACCAGTTTTCTTGCAGATCGGAGCATCAAGGTCGTTGTAGATGGTGCAAGCTCCGATTGCAAGCCTATTAATGCTGGTGTTCCACAGGGCTGCGTGCTATCGCCAACGCTGTTTCTTCTGCATATCAATGATATGTTGCAGACCCGTAACATTCATTGCTATGCAGATGACAGCACTGGTGATGCTCTTTACACCGGCCGAGCCAATATTTCTCGGGAAAACGTCTCCGAGTGCCGGGACAAACTTGTGTCTGAAGTCGAGTCTCTGCTGGACAGAGTCTCGGATTGGGGGCGACTAAATCTAGTCCAGTTTAACCCCCAGAAGACACAAGTTTGCGCGTTAACCGCTAAAAAGTACCCCTTTGTCGTATCCCCTCAGTTTCAAGGCACTCCCCTTGTTGCCTCAGCCAGTATCGGAATCCTCGGCGTCGACATATCGAGTGACGTGCAGTTTCGTGGTCACTTGGAAGGGAAGGCCAAATTGGCCTCTAAAAAGCTTGGCGTGCTCAGCAGAGCGGGACAGTATTTCATGCCGGCACACCGCCTGCAACTTTACAAGGCGCAGGTTCGGCCGCACATGGAATACTGTTCCCATCTCTGGGCTGGGGCTCCCCAGTACCAGCTCCTTCCACTTGACCACATCCAGCGCAGAGCGGCTCGAATCGTCGACGACCGAGTGCTTTCCGATCGGCTCGATTCTCTGGCACTGCGAAGAGATGTTGCATCCCTTTGCATTTTCTTTCGCATATACCATGGAGAGTGCTCTGAGGAATTGTTCGGATTAATCCCAGCCGCCAAATTTCGTGAACGCACTACGCGGCAAACGTCCCGATACCATCCACACCATCTGGATGCTTGGCGGTCCACCACTGTACGTTTCAAAAGGAGTTTTCTTCCGCGTACAACCTCTCTGTGGAATAATTTACCACCAGCGATTTTTCCGGACCGATACGACCTGGGGACCTTCAAGAAAAGAGCTTACTCCTTTCTAAAGGGCCGGTAACGCGTCTGCAATTCCCCTGGTGTTGCAGTTGATCATGGGCGGCGGTAGTCACTTAACATCAGGTGAGCCACATGCTCGTTTGCCCCCCTCTTCTATAAAAAAAAAAATATAAGTAGAAATCCTTACAAGGTAAATATCTAATTAACTGATTTATATTTTCTATTACTATATTGTATTATCGACTATACTTACGTAACCACAATAGTGCAAAATCTATTTTTATTAGGATTTTTTCAATTTATAGTTTTTTTTCTTCATATAGTATGGGAGACGAACGACCACAGTCCATCTGATGGTAAGTGGATTCTGTATTATTCTCGATTAAGAATCAAATGCAGAAGCGTTGTAGGTGAAGCACTCCCGACGATTACGGTGGAATGCCTCAATTCCAGTAATAAGGGCCTCCGGTTCTCCACCTCACCATACGAATCACAGCATCATTAAGCTACTAATTTACGCTGGTGTTGTGTGAGAGTGCAGGACTCGTCGAGCCAACCCATTCGTGCTACAACTATTATATACTCGTAGCTGCAACGTGGCTCTACCACGTTTTAGTGCATCTTAAAGAAAATCTTAATTTCAAAGTCAACTCCACTTCTTGCCAGGTCTTAGAAATTGACTGTTCTTAGCTCTTAGCAAATTTTTTAGCAGACAAACTTGCCTAATAATTGGACATTTTGTTACTGGTAAATGTAGATAAATTAGTAAAACCAGCAAATAAAGATTTACGGAGCGCTGCGTACATGCAGAAACCATGCTTAGATCTTTTTTCCTTCTTTCGTTAACATCCGATAAGTTCACGCATGCACACACACACATGTGCACACACATATACCCACATACACTCGCTCGCGCTTGGGTCGCACGCACATACGCACACATACAGGCACACACACGCCCACACACACACACACGCGCGCGCGCATATGTGTATGTATCTAAAATCCAGGGGGGCGGGTACTCACCATATAAGTTGAACTTGGGTTGAACATGGTTTCTAGACATTGAAGTACTTACGTACTAGAACAGCTATCTCAAACAAAAAATGTGCGCTACTCTGTGTTCGCGCGGTTGGTTTTTTTATCATAGAATAAACTTAGGTAGAATGACCCCTAGGTAATAGTAGACTGTATTGTCAAATATGTAAATTATATCGAGAACAATATTTAAATTTTGTCATTTATTTTGTATATTTTATTTGCTTATTTAATATAATATTATATCACAATTACATTTTAATGATATTTTTATCTGAATGTTTTAAAAGTTATCTATGTCAAATATAAAAAAACATACTGAATTTATGTTTAACAAAACTTATTAACATAACATTTAAATTACAAATATATTTATTTAAATTAGAATAAGAGTTGTTCATAAATGCTGGGCACGTGAGAGTTAAAAATTGACGAATTTATTCCACTTTGACTTTTATGTGGAAACCTAAAAATAAAATAAAAGAATAATAAGCAGATTTAAACAAGAAAAACTTAGCCTAATTATAATAACTTATATATGTTTCTACAAAAAAATTGTATAATAATATATTCGTCCTATACTTAAGTACCCACAGAAATGTCGCATCTGAACATATTATTTTCATAAACTATATTCCATGACACGAGATGGCGTCTTAGGCCGGCCTCACACAGCCGGAATGGCTCTCTGAATTTATAATCTAAAATTCATAATCTAAATTCCGATACCTTGCCTCACACATATCTTAAAAATTCAGATTGATCAGTAGTCTCATGATTTCCGGCACGTGCAAACGTGGACATCATGGAAGAGGAATTAACACTAATCGCGTTGCTTTTGGCTCTACATGATAAAAAAAGAAACGCAAACGCGAATACTGGATTCATCCTTTAAATACGAACAGAGTAAAGGAGAGTCAATATTATATTACGGCGAAAAAATTACGACAGTATCCTGACAGATTCATCGATTACTACAGAATGTCAGTAGCATCATTTGATGAATTACTATTGTTACGAGCTCAGGGTTTGGGACAATAAAAATTGCCGATGGAATTACCAAAATTAACTCTTTAATTCACTTTACACTTATTAAAACTTAGAACACTAATAATTAACCACACTGATTCACTTTATTTCGCTCCGAAGCTTCGCTTGTCTCGCCAAATCCAATACTTCCCCGCTCGCATCTTGCAGCGCCTTTAAACCAATAACAACGACACAATTTCATAAGGCCAGAGGCGAAGAGGGCAGTTTGCAGCCCACAAAAAAGAAAAAAAAAAAAAAAAAAAAAAAAAAAAAAGATGGGTTTTATATAAATAAAAAAAAAAACCCCATTCTTCCCCAAACCTTTATCCACATTAACCCGGCACAAAACCACCCCCCCAACCATATTTTTTTTATAAATTTTAAAAAAACCCAGGGAACTCGGGGTGCTTGAATCAATATAATATGGTGAAGAATTATTTGAATTTTCTTTGAATATATTTTTAAATAGCTGCATCATGCCTAACTTAAAGTCAATTTTTTGCAGGTGTATCATTTTTTTCATGTCACCTGAAAAACTCAAAAGGTATTTTTCGTCATCGTCATAATCCTTAGTTGCAGTGTTTTTTTTCGTCTTCAATATATTTAATATTTCTGTTGGCACATCTTGTGATTTTTTCTTTTTTGGTTCTGATTCTTCATTGGTATTATTTTTCTTACGTACATTTTCAGTTTCAACTTCTAGCGCTCTTTGTGTTCTAACATCCCTTTGTACCTCATGCTCTTCTTCTGCATCTCTTACTGATTGCTCGGCAGTGTCATCTTCTTCATAATTTCCTGCGTGGTTTCTTCTTTGTCCAAAAATCCTAAAATGTCTGCGTAAACATATCTTTTCCCTTTTTTGCAGCGGATCCTGTAGGAATACTCTTTGATCTTTGTTTATCTTTCTTGTAATAATCTCGACAGTTACTCCATTTTCTTTTGAGTTCTAGACCTGTCAGTAAAATAGAAGTAATTAGTAATCAATGTTATTTTTTTCTTTCAGATACCTCGCTACTGGTGACAACTTCGAAGATTTGAAGTATGATTTCCTAATGGGAAGTACTACGAGTACAATGTCCAGTATTCTTTCGGATACTTGTTCGATTATATGGGAGGTATTACAACCAATGGAGATGAAGCCACCATCATCACAAGAGCGCTGACTTGAAATATCCGACAACTTCTACAGGAAAACTAATTTCCCTAATTGTTTGGGTGCTGTAGACGGCAAACACATAAGACTGATTGCACCACATTTCAGTGGCTCAAATTACTACAATTATAAGTACTACTATTGTATTGATGGCCGTCGTTGACGTGGACTATCGTTTTATAGCGGTGGAGATTGGTTCATACGGTAGAGAAGGAGACAGCAGTATTTTTAAACACTGGAATTTCGGAAAAAGACTCTCTGAGTATCACCTTAATTTGCCAGCCCCAAAAGCTTTACCAAACACTACAATGACGACCCCCCATGTTTTTCTTGGAGATGAAGCTTTTCTATTAAATTCTGATTTTCTAAGACCATATCTAAGGAACAACTTAAACAACACTCGCAGAGTTTTTAATTATAGACTCAGTCGAGCGCGCAGGATAGTGGAATGTGCTTTTGGAAGTCTAAGTAACAAATGGAGAGTTTTTCACACAAATATGACAACCAGATTTTGCTGTAAAAGTAACAAAAGAGGCATGTGTGTTACACAATTTTGTTCGTCAAAGAGATGGGTACAAATTTGAAGATACCTTAACACACTGTCTTGATGACCTGCTATATGAAACACCACATTACAGAGCATCTAATACGGGTAGACACGTAAGGGATAAGTTTGCATAATACTTTATGATGCCATGTGGCGAAATATCATGGCAATACAATAACCGAATGATCAGTGGTGATTACTAAATTTTATTATGTCTGTAGGTACTTACTTTTTATTTCGTCTTCACTTAATGTATCCCAATTTGGAATTAAAAATTTAAAAATTTCCAACCACGCTATGTCTTTTTTTTTCCCTGTCATGATAGTCTTCAATGGAAGTGTCCCATATAAAAGGGTGGCTTTCGACGCACAAAATCAAATTTTCTGTATCAGACATCACGTCAAGTCGCAACGCGTCCAGATGTTACCGCTTGCAGTGGCGACTGAAGTAATTCATAATCTGATTCCAGTGTGTGTGTGTGCCGCTCCATAGGAAATGTATGGGAATACGCGCGTTATGAAATCATAATCTTAAACATTCCGATCCGGAATTCAGAACGCTCGTCAGTATCATTCTTACAGATCAATCTGAGAAATTCATAATTTGAAAAAATCTGAATGTGTGTGGAGCATACCGATATTGTATTGTATTCCGGCCTTTCTGAATTAATAATATGAATACAGATTATGAGTTCAGAGAGCCATTCCGGCTGTGTGATGCCGGCCTTAGAAATAATTTGTTTTATTATTAATCTATAATACTTTTTTATTGATTAAGTATCTTATTAACCGATGAAAAGTAATTCCTTGGTTTTTACTGACATTTCTTGAATTATTTTTACAATATCTAAGTACACACGGCGGCATATTTTTATCAAGAGATTTTTTTTAAAATCAACACAATTATTATGTTTAAAGACATTTATTCTCATAAAGACATTTTATACGCCACTTACATGAGAACATAAATAAAAGTAAATCTAAATAACAAAATTCATTGTCGTACCTATGTTGTTGAAAAATAAATAACATCAAAAACAGCTATTGACGGGAAAAATCTATACAAATAAAAGAAAAGTTAAATTCTAGTATACACTATCGCCTTAGCACCACAATACTAAGACCAGGAACAAACCAGTCCAACTCACTCAGATAGATATGTTTGTGATTATATGATTCGCTAGTCGCTTTTTGAATACATTGAACGAATCTACATTTTTTATTTCCGAGGGTATCTTATTAAAAAGGCGCGAACCTTCGCATGTAATTGTGGTCTGGCCGTACTTTGTTCGAGTTTTGGGCAAAACAATAAAGCTTGCGCGTCGATACTTTTGTTTATCCATTCTTTTTGTGGTTCATTCATAATTTTGGTCTTTGTTACTTTGCTTTCTTCCATACATTTTTATCAACACAACTCGTGACAATTCTACAAGCGCCTAGCGAGTGACTGATTACAGTGCGGTGTATGCACCGCAGTTGAGTGGAACAGAGTAGGTGAATGCAGTGTCGCCTCTAGTACGTAGTACATAATAGCTCAATGTTTCTAGACTTGGTTTTTGGATCATTTGACAAGCACGCAGCGCTCCGTCTTTATTTCTTCATTATTTTGAGTTGGTGGAACGATAAGTATAATATGACAACAAAAAAACATTCTACACACGTTGGAAGGTTGCAGCCTCGCTGCTCTCCGGTAGTAGCGCAAAGCTTCTTCAGGCCCCGTTTCGCTCGCCAACCATTGCAAAGCCGACAGTTCACATGGCCACACTGCCTCCACCTTAGAATAAACAAATATCGCATATATTTATTATGTTTATTAGTACAAATGAAATGTTTATTAGCTATTATGAAATAAGCCACATGTAACGGCATGGCTTATTTTACTTTGTTTTGTTGAAAATTTTTGCTGGTATAATTACAAATAAAATTCAGAAATTTTCTAATGAATTAATGAAATGAGAAATTGTGATAATAAGACAATTAATATTATTACGATTTCTGTGAATACACTCGTTCTTAAATTCTCGTTCTTGAGAATTTTGTTTCATATTGTTACGTTTTAGACATAATTTACATAAAGTTTCATATATCATGAAACTCACGTCTTGATAATGATGTTTGGCAGTCTGAGCATCGCCTATTTCATTGTGCAGTTCCGCGAGAGCACAGGTCACACCTGCGTCCCAGCTCCCGATCATGCTGTACCTGCATAAATGTTTTTACATTAAAGCAATGTAAAAAACTTAACTGAATCCGAAATGATCAAGATTTTATTCATCATTATCATCATATCATTGCTTTCGCTACCTTGTAGTATATACTTTTAACTGCGCATATAGTTTTCTTTTTAATTATAAGAATAGGACCAAAAATTTAACTCGTCACCAGCCTGTAAATATCCACTGTTGGACGAAAGAGACTCTTTCATTGTATCTTATGAGTTATGAGTACTGAACTAGATAAGAGGGTCCAAAAAATAAAATACGTATAAATTAGTAGAGCTCTTTACATAGATGTAGAGTACACATCATGTATTTATAATATTCTTAAATCCATAAGCCTGAGTAATAAGTAATAACTAATAATATTCCTTTAATAAATTTACAGTTGTTTATAATATCTATTAGTCATTAGCTATTATACAATTAAAGTTAAGCATTGTTTTGACGTAATAACATTATCATCATCTAATAAATACATACATATTTTATCATCACATTAATTTAAAATAAAAATTTCCTTGTTACCTGTTTTAAAAGACGTATTAGAAAGGTCGTAAGTTCATAAATATACGTTATATACATAGGTATACTGACACACAAGTATTTATTACTTAGATAAAATTAATAAAAACAAATTTTATTGTTGCCTTTTGGTGGATATAAGTAAAGGATTTATTCCGTATGAAAATGGAAACCATTTTTTAATGTTAATCATGTGACCGCTTACCACTATATCCTTGATGTTTTATTTGCGTTCACTGCATTATAAAGTATTTTAAATAAATAATAAGTTAATCTAAATCTAAGCTCATATCTCAATAAATGTAGTTAATAATAAATTCTACAATAAATATCGTAACGAAACAAAGACAGGCAAATTCACTGCAAAAAAATAAGAATATAGAAAATGTGCATACCTATCGCAGCGGCCAGGTACTGGCCTATGCATTGAACTAAAGTTCATAGTATCTCGATGGGCCTATGTGTGTTTATGGTGTTTTGCAGCATTTTAATATGTTATGTGAATTTTAATTAATCATTTAGAAATTGAATACTCCTAACTTATATTGTTACGAATTAATCTGATAACATTTTTCTGTAAATAACGGAACTTTCTTTTAAAATGAATTGAAATATGAAGTAGTAGATGTTTGAACAAATTAATATTTTCTGTAATACTTTATAATTCTACATTTATGAATTAACAAGTGTTTGTTATTTACAACAACTTGCCAAGTTTTCCAAAACACTAACATCTGGTTACTATGATCAAGGAACATTGCGGTTTTTGTACGGCCCAGAATTAAATGCGAATTACGTGGGGTCATATAGAAAGTGTGTGTGTGCGCATGCGTGCGTGCGTGCGTACATGCGTGCGTGCATACATGCATGCGTGCGTGCTTGCTTGCGTCCGTCCGCCGTGCGTGCGTGCGTGAGCGTGTGCGTGCCAGAGCGTGCGGGGTGCGCGTGCGGCGCGCGCGCGCGCGCGCGTGTGTGTGTGTGTGTGTGTGTGTGTGTGTGTGTGTGACTCAACGACTTACAGTATCCCGAACAAGCCGGTTTCCGAAAAAGCTTTAGCACCATAGACCACATACATACCCTTATGCAAATTGTACGGAAGTCCGAAGAGTACAATCTGCCACTTTGTCTTGCGTATGTGGACTGTGAGAAAGTCTTTGATTTCGCTGAAATTTTGGCAGTGCTGCAGTCTCATCAGCGGTGCGAAGTTGATTGTCGGTATATCGAAGTGCTGAAGTGTTTGGTTTTTATAGTAGGGCTACTTGGGTTGAATGGCCTAAGGGCTACGATGGCTATCCGAGTACAGAACGAGGGTACGAAGTCTATGTAAAAAGGTGTAAGACAGGGTAACGTAATATCCCCGAAACACTTTACCGCTGCATTTGAAGACTTTTTCAAGCTACTGGACTGGAAAGGATACGGTATAAACGTCAATGGCGTGTACGTCACTCACCTTCGATTTAGCAACGATATAGTCCTTATGGCAGAATCTCTGGAGGACCTAAGCACTATGGTCAATGACCTCAATAGTGTCTCCCAACCGATAGGTTTTAAGATGAACATGGACAAAACAAAAGTTATGTGTAATGTCTATCACACACCTATGCCGGTGGTTTTTGGTAGCACTTAGCTGAAGTTGTTGACTAGTATGTTTACCTGGAACAAATAGTCCGACTAGGATCCAACTTCGACCGAGAGGTCAATCGACGGATTCAACTCGGCTGGGCAGCGTTTGGGAGATTACAACACATCTTCTCGTCAGGCATACCTCAAAACTAGATTGTGCAATCTGTGCGTGTTGCCAGTAATGTTCTATGGATCTGAGACGTGGTCCTTCACTGCTGGCCGTATGAGGAAGCTCGAAGTCGCCCCGCGAGTTATGAAGAGGGCTATGCTCAGGGTGTTTCGCGCGATAAACTTAGGAATGAGGATATCCGCAGTAGAAACAAAGTGACCGACATCGCCTAACGGATTAGTAAGCTGAAGTGGCAATGGACTGGCCATATAGCTTGAAGAATCGATAACCGATGTGGAAGAAAGGTTCTCGAGTGGCGCCTCGTACCAGCAGGTGAAGTGTAGGACGTGCTCCCACTATATGAAGTTACAACCTGGTAAGAATTGCAGGAAGTTGATGGATGCAGGTGGCTGAGGACCGTGCTTTATGGCATTCCTTGGGGAGGCCTATATTCAGCAGTGGACTTGTGAAGGGCTTTAATGATAATGAATGATAATGGCATTATATTAATATGATACATAAATAAAATGGACGTTACGGATAGAGGCTATCTATCCATAGAGTCCTAAATCGCCTCATCATGTCACGGTGTATAACCAGTCCAGCGAAGTTGTATATATAGAATTCAGTGCATACTAAGCAATGTTCATGTGCACCTACACTCTCAAGTAAGGCCCACCCTCCATCGTAAGATAAAAATATTATACCAGGGGTTATTCCATTTATCCACCCTAAGATACTCGGAATCGCGTGATCGTTTATCCATCCCAGGCGGGGAGGATAATCGGAATTCGTACATTATTTTTATTCCCAATTTTCCCCCTCGGATTTGTTCAGTCTTTTAAAAAAACATGATAGAAATTGGCCCAAGATTACTTAGTAGACATTAGCATATCTATAAAAATACATACATATTTCTCTTTTAAAGGTCAAAACTGAAATACTTTTAATTGTTCATTTACATATTATTATTCGATATGACATAATTTATGTCATTTTGGAGATATGATCAAAGAAATGTTTTACTGCATTTAATTTCAATTATTATTTATTGAAGTAGGTATTTTAAAAAAATATATTGTTAGTTATTTATACATTATTGAAAGTAGTACTGTAATTAACAAATTTTAAAATGTCTTTTATTGATAGACGAATTTAAACAGGATATACAATTACGTCTACTCGATAATGAAAATAGTGTTGGTCATTTCCTGAACCTAGTGCAGATTTTATAAATTACTTCTTATTATTTAAAACAAGGAAGTTTAGTTTAGTTTAAATGCAATACGTATTATGATTTTTGTTTAGGTTTCTGGTTATTAAAAAATTAATCAATGACATATTAAAGAATTTATATATTTTCTGTTGAACTGTACTTGGGGTGGAAAGGCGGAACACCAATCAAAAAGTGAATTCCGATTATCCACCCCGTTTAGGGTGGATAAACAAACACGCGTTTCCGAGTATCCACCTCAGGGTGGATTTCTTATGGTGGGTAAACGGAATAACGCTATACCAGTGGTCCGCGGCGGCTGGGTCGGCGGGGTCGGTAGGGTCGGCGGAGTGCGCAGGGTGTGCGGGGTGCGCGAGGCGCGCGAGGCCGGCGGCGGCGAGCGCGCGCAGCGTGGCGCCCGCGCCCGCTGCCGCGCGCACGCGCTGCCAGCGTGCTTCCGCGCCTGCCGCTTCACCGCTCAGCTCCATACACAGCGCTGCGGCCCACGTTACACTTCGAATAAAACTCACCACCACTGCTCAACTATTCTTATATACTTTTAAGGTAATTTTATACTTTCGCGGTTCCCACGTTTTTTGGCTCTAGAAAATCGAAAAATCATCCGATTTCGATGATTTAAAATATTCGCTTTTATGGCGGATTTATGAAAAAAAATATATGAAAAATATCTCACCTGAAGATTTCATATAGTTTTATGACTTTAAATGTGATCATAAATGCACTTAACGAACTAACTAACTAACTTTTTTGCAAAGCATTAAACGAAGTTTATATATTTTTTTGTTAATCTACATAAATAAACGAACATTAAAATAACATTGAAAAAGGTTAGTTTATTAATTTTTTATCTCACTTAAAGTTTTTATATGGTTTTCTGACTTTAAATGTTATCATAGACGCTCTAGAAAATCGAAATAATTATAAAAGTTAATATTTTAGTGTTTTATTGAGTGTAAGATCGAACGAAGCGAGCTTGGGACTTAGGGCATCCCGACTCGGACAGGTTAGGTTAGAATCAGATGGCGGGGTCGAGTGAGCGAGCAAAGCGAGCGAATAGACCCCGACATCCCCTTCGTGGTTAATTTTTTATAAATTACTTAGAAGTAGGAGCCCTGCGAAACGGGGCTCCGTCGACCGGGCTTCCCTCAACTGCGCTACGGGAGAGAGTTGGGGGGAAGCACCACGCCAATCTACGTTCGGCGGCTCCTACTTCTGAGCGGTTTATAAAAAAATTACCACAAAGGAGATGGCGGGTCTATTTGCTCTCTCACTTTCCCGCCGTCTCCTTCTAACCTAACCTGCCCAAGTCGGGACATCCTAAGTCCCGAGCTCGCTTCGCTCGATCTTACACTCAATAAAACACCAAAATAAAAAATTTACAAACAAACATTTTACAAAGTTAATTTTCTTAATGTTCGTTTTTTTGTGTAGATTATGAAAAAAATTACAACAACTTCATTCGATTATTTGTAAAAAGTTATACGTGAACGAGTGCATTTTCACGAACATCTAAAGCCCTGAAACCAATATACGTTTTAATTTTTTTCATTCCTGTATTTTTTTTCCTAAATCCGCAGTAGAAACGAAGATTTAAAAAAAATCATCGAAACCGGATGATTTTTCGATTTTCTAGAGCCAAAAAACGAGGGGACCGCGATGATATAAAATTACCACTTTTAACACTGGTTCGAAAAAAAATCTTTGTCCTGGTAAAAACCAGCAAGAAACCTAGCGAGACTTATTTTGTCAAAGAAATCGATACAATAAGAAATCTTGAACAAACTATAGTTGCCGACACGAGTCATGAGCACAGATAAACTGTGGTGGGAGGTAGGTACACTGTCGGGCAAAATTATTGGGTACCTTTATTATTTCAATTCGTAATTGAATATTTTCGCCGACTTTTATGAAAATGTTCACTCGAACACATCAACTTTTACTTTGATACAGTAATGTTGCAGATATTCGTGTCCATTATTTTATTATCTACTATAAAGTATTTAATGTGTACCTGGTGGTTAGAATTAATTATTTTATTAAGAAGAAGGAAGAGGTGATATGCCTTCCATAAAATCTGTTGTTGCGGTGCGCCGTATAGCAGCTACTGATACATTAGTCGCCTCAGCAGTCTGTTTATATACGTCTATGATGTTTTTCGCAGTATCTAATTTTTTTACGTAACTAAGCACTGAATAGACCATTTGTCGGGATTTTCTATTTAACACCGAATTCTTCTTTCTCTGCATATTTAGACCGAAATCTGAACACTCAAATTATAACAACAAAAATAATTAAAAACAAGAAATAACAAAAGCAATTAATAACAGGGAATACCAAACAACAATTAACGACGAGGTAACAAAAACAATTAACGAAAATAAACTAATTAAAAATATCACTAAAATTATTGCTCTGAAGTGTACGGAAGCCGAATGATGTAACGAGAATCGACTGATGAACCAATCACGTTGAACGTCAGCGTGGTCAACGTCGTATCGACCAATAAAAAGTGTGCTCACGACTTATGTCGGCAATTATACTTACAAAACTTATTTAAGAGACAGCTTGGAAGCAATTACCTACCCGTCAACCGTGTAGTAGGGTAAGGTCTCCTATCTTATATTATTATAGAAGAAACTAACGTGATGTTTTTGGTTTTGCCGTTTCGAAAATAGTTTGGCCAACGTAAAAAATACACGATTGTCAAGGGATTTTCCTTATTTAAGTTTTACGGCACTAAACGGCAATTCGAACCTTCTATATTATCTTATTATCTTCAACAGTGGTCTGGTGTATAAATGACGATGACAATGTTTTTTTATTTATGATTTTTTTACTTTTACAAACAAAAACCGGAATTATAATAATGCGTAGTAAATACTCTCATTCATAAACCACGATGGGTCAGTAAGGTTACCTCGTGAACCAAATCGTTAATATCTATGAAGCAATAACGTAGTATTTAGTAAGTGACAAATGTTCAATGTCATTTACTAAATACACATAATGATTTCTTATATTTACGCGAACATCGCACATGATTAAAACTACTTTTACGGATTTTATCGCGTTTATTTTTTCCTTGTATTTTTGATGTTTATTTTTGCGAAAAAATAAACGCGATAAAATCCGTAAAAGTAGTTTTAATCATACTACGTTATTATAATAATATACGTTATATATAAATATACGTTAATATACGTTATATGTGTTGGGGGTCATTGTAGAAGCGTGCTCGTCGCGACCCCTGCCAGCTCTTTTCAGGGCTGCAATTCTACACAGCTGCGCACCCATGCAAACGAGGGTTAGGGCGTCCCCCCAAGGCGACGCACACCAGCTCGTCTCCGTTGGTGTAGAATGCAGCGCGCAAAGCGGCGATGGGGACCGCCACCTGTCACGCACAGCCCGACACGGCGGGAGGTGGAGGACGGAGTGAAGAGTTGGCACGTGGAATGTTAGAGGGGGCATAAGAGATAAGATGAATGAGTTGATCGAAATAATGAAAGAAAGAGAATTAGATATCGTGTGTATGTCGGAGACCAAACGGAAAGGCAGTGGTACTGAAGAGCTCCCTGGCGGGACGTTAGCTATATGGTCCGGAGTCCCGGAAAGCGAGAGCGCCTGCCAGGGAGTGGAGGTGCTTTTGTCGTCCCGGTTGGTCGATCTTATGACTGAATATAAGGTTGTGAACTCAATACTTCTCTGGGTTCGCTTTAAACTGGGACTGACGAAGTTATTCATTTTGGCTGTTTATGCGCCGGTAGCTTCGTCGTCCAGGACTGAGTTGGAGGAGTTTTGGGAGAATGTAAGAGAAGTTCTAGATTTGGTTAAAGGAAACGAAAGAACTGTTGTATGTGGTGATTTGAATGAATGGGTAGGTATCGCTCGATCAGGGTACGAGTCGGTGCTTGGAAAGTTTGGCGATAACAGGGTTAATGATGCTGGCAAGCTTATACTGGCTGTATGCAAGGAAAAGGGTCTTCTTGTGACAAACACTATGTTTAAGCACAGGAAAATCCATATGCACTAGAGAAAGAAAGAATGAGAGAAGTATGATTGATTTGTTCCTGGTGGATGACCGACTGCGAAAACAGGTGATGGATACACGAGTGTTCAGGGGTGCTGACCTGGGAACGGATCACTATCTAGTAATTACTAGATTTAGGGGTTTGTTTGCGGGTTGGCGCTACCGGACGGCAGTAACAGAACCACAGTCGGTCTGTCGCATCCGAAGCTGGAAGCTTCAGGAAGCGGATACTAAGGACAAATATCACACGAGGGTAGCCGAAAAGCTTGACACCATCGATGGCAGAAAAGAATGTGTGGAAAGAACAAGGTAGAACCTTAGGGATGGAATGGTAAGTGCAGCGGAAGAAGTATTTGGAACGACAAAAAGAGGTAGTAGTAAAAGAATAGACGCATGGTGGAAAGATGAAGTGCGAGAAGCTGTAAAGAAGAAGAAAAAAGCATGGTTAGACTACTTGGCCTCTAGTAACGATAAGCATATGAGAGAGAAGATGAAAGAAAGATATAAGCTGCAGAGAATTCATGTGAAAACATTGATTTAGGAAGTACGTGAAAGGTGTAGAATAGAAACGGACGAAAGGATGTCGCACAACTTTAAGTAAAACTCCAAACTCTTCTGGAAAGAGGTTGGAAGGTCCCGGAGTGGTGTGTTAGCCTTAACAATGAACAAAGTGCTTTCGAAAACCAATGACGTCCTCTCAGAAAAATCAGACGTCATGCAGCGATGGAGCGAATTTTATAGAGAAACGTATGCGTGTCATGATCTTAGTGAGGGATCCGGGGGTGACGCCATGACTGGCACGCCAAACACGGACCTCGATGACACTGAGATCATCAGCATGAAAGAGATTGAACGTGCGATTCGAAGTTTGAAATGTGGTAAGGCTGCGGGACTAGACAAGTTACTGCTGAAATGGTCAAATACGGTGGGTCTCGCGTCTGGGACAGCTTTCATCTGCTGTGCAATTTGTGCTGGCGGACGGGAGATGTCCCGGATGACTGGCGATCCGCAGTCATTGTGCCTTTATATAAAGGTAAAGGTTCACATTTTGACAGCGGGTGCTATCGGGCGATCAGCTTGAACAGTTTAGCAAGTAAAGTTTACTCGAAGGTTTTGACACGTAGGATGCAAGAAAAATCGAAAAGATTATTATGGGAGGCACAATGCGGATTTAGACCTGGGAGAGGATGCACGGATCAAATTTTTTCTCTCCGCATGATCACGGAAAAGCTTCTGGCTGTTAACCAGAGGATTTTCTGTGCTTTTGTGGATCTGGAGAAAGCTTTTGATAAGGTTATAAGAAAGAAAATGTGCGATCTGTTGCCGAAATAGGGTGTGGATGGTTGATTGTTAAGGGCTGTGCAGTCACTCTGCAGGCATGACCTGTCACCCATGTTTAGCGTCCAAGCGGGCGTAAAACAGGGTTGTGTCATGTCTTCCTGGCTGTTCATACTGTATCTCGACAGCTGTTTACAGAAGCTGAAAAATAGCTGTTTGGGCGTGAAATTGGGTGACATTGAAGTAAATTGTCTGCTGTATGCTGATGATGCAGTACTTATTGCATCATCAGAAGCAGAACTGCAGGTATTAGTCACGTGTATGAAAGAGGAATGTGAAATTAAAGGTCTCCGTTTGAATGCTAATAAAACTAAGGTTCTGGTATTTGAAAAGAACGAAGAGAGAACGAAATGTGAAATATGGGTAAATCTGAATGTCAAGAACAGGTAAATGAAATCGTATACTTGGGGAGCGCTTTCAGCCGGGATGGAAAATGTGATTTAGATGTGGACAGGCGTGTCCCTGCGGGGAACAAAGTCAATGGTGCCCTGAATGCGTTAGTCAAAAGGCAAGGCGTAGTGAAGAGTGCACGCCTTGCAATACATAACGCAGTGTTGGTTCCGACTTTGTTATATGGCAGCGAAACCTGGGTATGCCAGAAGAAGCATAAAAGCAAGTTGAATGCAGTGGAGATGCGATCTCTTCGTAAAATGTGCGGCGTTACCATAGCCGACCGAAAGCGAAACAAAGAGATTCGCAATATGGCAGAATTGAAAGATGACCTTATCACAATAATTGATAGGGGCGTACTCCGATGGTTTGGGCACGTTGAGCGATTGAGTGAAGACCGAATGGTGAAGAAAATATATAGCGCGAAAGTAAATATTAAAAGGTGTCGAGGTAGACCGAGACTGACTTACGAAGACCATGTGAGCAAATTACTCGAAGAGGGGAAGGTCAAGAGTACTCGGATACCTAGACGTGCATGTATGAAGAAGATAATGAACCTGAAAGAAGCGAAAGAGGTATGTACGGATCGTGACACTTGGCGGTCTATTCTCTCTGGCTACCCTGTTAGGGATTGTGCGTGAAGATAACGGTAACAAATGTTCAAACGATAATTTTATGTTCCAGCTGTTATAGGTATAAATTTAATGACAATTTGTGGGTATTACATACTCAAAGGTTGGTGGACTATGTTAGATTATGACTGTATAGATTATATAAAATACTATAAACTTAGTAAAATAATTTTTCATGATATTTATAGAATACTTATTGGTAACTGCAGGCATTGAAAACATAATTAGTACAAATGCGTCAAAGTATATGAAAGTGAAATAATTGTTAAATGAAACTAGTCCCTTACTTTTCTGGCCTCGCATTTTTCTTACAATTTCTTCAATAATGTTATAACCCAAGACAGTTAGCAATATAATAAAGGATAAATACCTAAATCGTGCATAGCAATAAGGTCAGCAGGATCAAGGTGACTGGCGGCAACCAGACGCCGCGCCACATCTGCTGCAATATCAGGCAGGTTTTCCACATTGTTGGTCCCACGGGCAGCTGCCAAGTCGGCCAACGCACTAGACACACGGGCTGTACACGAATAGGGATCATCGCGTGCCGCCGTTTCGCTCAGTGATTTTGCTTCTGACCATTTGCCCAACTAAAATATTACATAAACTTTAAAGTAAGTATATAGTAGCATGATTATCAGTTTTCTATGTGTTAAAAAGTATGTTACAATAAAAATAAATACGTCATACGTCATATACCATCATATAAGAAATTATGACTGAAAAACTAGACTGAAATTTTATAGCTGGAGACCTGATGACCTGACCAGTAAACGCTTAAAAACGATAATAAAAGACATACGCTGAAAACAAACACTTGTTTGCTCTCGACTGGACAAGGGCCGAAGTAAAATGAGTTCTGATCACTATGTACAATTAGTTTCGTTACTTTATGTTCACGAAAGCAAGTAGATGAGAAAGTTGTATTTGTACCAGTGAATGCACGTCGCTTGGAGAAGTTTAGAAATGACATAGTAAAAACTTCCATCTCTTTCAAAGCAAAATAATCCTGATTTTTGTGTGAAACATTATCTTATTTGCAATGTGTTTAGGCCTAATTTAACGTTTGGCGGCCTGCGTCGGCGCTCGGGTCGAGCGGGAGGCGAGCCTGACGGCTGAGGCGCGGGGGGTGCGGGCTGGTGCGGCGTCCGGCCGCGCCGGCGTCGGCGTTTTGCGGGTCACTTGCCGCAGAGCTTGGAACTGAGTAGTTGCGCGTCGTGTTAATAGCTGAGTCGCCCGCTGCCTCTGACGCCTATACTTCGCGAACCTGAGTTGTTTGCAACGCGGCCCGGTGATATTGCATTTTCACAAATGTCGAGTTTGTTGTAACGCGCGTTCGGTTAAATCTTGTTGGAATTTATTGGACTAACCTAATGATAATTGACTTGACTCCAATTAACAAGTGAGAAACGAGTATAATTTCCGAGACTCTTAAATTTTTGTGACGGACTGCCACTTCGATATAAAGAATAGAGGTGAAGCCTTGGGATCGGCGGTTCTGCAACCAGCGGGAAGTCAGGTTACATAATATAACACAACACAACACAATACAGCACGCACACACTTACACCTGAATCTTCCTAGGGTTGACCCTACTTCGAAGAAATAGGTAAGTTTTGTTTGGTTCCCTTTTTTACCGCTAACGTGTAATATTCCACAAGCCATTTAGGCCGACCTCCTGTTACTCGTCGAGTGGAACCCCTGATGGGCCCGGGTCCCACGACCTTGCCCGGGTAACTAGAGGCCGTAACATTTGGTAGCAGAACGTGGTTTTCCTGATGGGTTTTGAAACCACTCCCAGCTCAATACGTAACGTTTTGGTAGGAGTAGCGTAGTCTCCCAGCGCAATACGTAAGTTGGTAGCAAGATAGCGGTTGTAACCACGTGGCTGCTGGTTGTGTTTGTTGCAATACGTAATAATAATTTGTTTTATTCGCTTGTTATTTGTTAGCATAGGATCGGTGTATAGAACCGTGTAGTAACCGTATTTTTTGAGTTTTTTATTTACTTTATCTGGTCGCTTACTTTGTTAAGTGTTAGAATTGAGCCACGCCCGTAAGCCGTGGTGGTAAGGAATTATTGTACTCTCGTTATAATAATCGTGAGGACGAACCGTAATTGTACTAATTAAATTAATTGCGTAGTATAATTTACTGATTGGATAAATAGTATTTTGTATTGTATTATTTTTATTGTGGTAATTAAACTAATTGTGTAAAGTAATTTGTACTAAATTTAATTCGGTGATAATCGTACCTTGTAATGATGCCTTCACACCGGTCACCGACGCTTCGCTTGCAAGCGGAACTGCGCTGGGCTGCGAATGCTCACAGCTTGATAGGGAGACCAGATAGGATCCATAGCTTGGAGAAGCGGCTCGAGCAAGTCATGACCCGAAGGGCCGTAGTGGAGGAGGCATGCTCCGAGATTATGGCTTCGGGAGCGGAACAGGGAGTCCTAGACTCCTGTCTTTCCGACTATGAGCAATTTTTTGCTCTCACGGATGACCTGATTGAGGCAGGGGCCAAGCAGGCTAGTGACGCGCGTGAAGCTCGGCTGGGTGTCCTGCTCGAGTCCCCTCGGAAGCAGCCCACTCACCCGGAGCTGTTGGGACGACTTCCCACTCTGGACCTGCCAAGGTTCTCCGGGGTCCTCTCCGAGTGGTTAACGTTTGTGGGACTTTTTGACAGCCTGGTGGATGCCCGGAGGGATTTAACACCAAGCCAGAAGATGGCGTATCTCCTGGCCTCATTAGAGGGGGGAGGCCTTGGGCGTCGTCGGCCATTTGAAGGTGTCGGACGACGCCTACCTGAACGCTCGGGACCTCCTGGCCGGAAGGTATGCCAACGTACGGCGAATTGCGGACGAGCACGTCAAACTCCTGTTGAACCTCCCGCTGCTAAAGGACCGGGCCCGACTACGACCGGACATCGTAAATCCGGTCTTGGTAGCCTGCAACTCGTTGAGACGGCTGGATTTGCCGGTGGACGAATGGTCCTTTTTGTTGCTCCATATTGTGCTGTCCCGCCTACCTCTCGATCTTCGACTCCATTTTGAGGAGAGGTACGGCGGAGACGGCGCCTCCTATATTCCTCCCTTCAGTGATCTGCTGCGGTTCTTGGAGGAGCAGTGCCGGCAGATCGAAAACGCAGCGGGCACCGCCGAAGATCTACGGACTGCTAACCGAACCGTGACCAGGGAAAGGCGAAACCCCCCGGCCAAGTCGTTGTCAACCCCCCTCAGACCGAGTGGTGCTCCTGCGGGAGGGCGCCCCCTCCTATCATCTTATAGTGGCCTAGTGGCCAGGAAGGCGCCCCCCTGCTCCTATTGTAGAGCAGCAGAACACCGGGTGACGTCGTGCCCTAAGTTATTAGGCAAGCCTGCCTCAGCGAGACGAACCATCGCCAGGGAGCGCCGCTGGTGCTATTCATGTTTAGAAAGGCACCTCCAACGAGACTGCCCGCACCAGCGGCCCTGTCCGCACTGCCAGGGCAAGCACCACGCCGTTTTGTGCCTGGGCGCGAACGGCTCTTTCTCTCGGGGCTCTGCCGGGCCCTCATCCCCCACGGGCGGGGGCGCCCAGCCACCCCCCTCTGACAGGTGACGCTCGTCGCTCTCCTACCGACGACCCTGCCCCTGGGTTTGGAGGGGGTTCCTCTTACGACCAGTCGGGGGGGTCGTTCCCCCCAGGGGCGGGGGGTTCGTCACCCCCCCCGCGGAGGGTCGAGAGGGACTTCACGGCCACTCAGCGGTCAGCGAGATCCTTCTCACCCCCATTAGCAGAGAGGCCGCGACTGGAGTACCACCCCCCCCCCCTTTTGGTCGGTCCCGCTACTACGGGCTCCCTGAGACCTCGAAGCTGTCCAGGGCCTCCAGGCCAAGGTTCCCAGAAGCCCCCCCAGGTCGGCCCGTTCTGCGATTTTCATCCACGGGCCAGTGAGATGCCGCCGGAATTCCGTTTTCCGGACCCCCCGGCTTGAGTGCCGGTCCGACGAAGGCAGCTCCCGCTAGGAAACTGCCGCCCTAGCTCCCACCACGGCCGCCTTCACTGATCCTTTAAGCCGTCCGCAGTCCACCTGTCAAACTGTTCTATTGCCGACGGCCGCCGTGAAGGTGTACAACCCGAGTGGCGACTGCTTAACTGTTCGCGCTCTATTGGATTCAGGTTCACAACGCTGTGTGGCCTCCACTCGGTTGGTGGGAAGACTAGGGCTCCCCTGGAGCTCTAAATCATGTCCAATGGTAGGTATTGGAGGTGCAGAGCCTCCTGCTCCTAGGGGACAAGCAAGGCTGGTGTTTGGTCCTGCAAGCGAACACCTCCACATCTTAGTTAAGGTAAATGTCCTCGATGATATTGTAGGCTTTCTCCCTAATGCCCGTATAAATGATAGCGCGGTTTGTTGTACGTCTGGCTTGAGACCGGCAGACCCTCAATGGTCCCAACCTGGGCCTATAGATTTGTTGCTGGGGGCCGACGTGCTGGGGTTCATCCTGTTAGGCGAGATACGAGCCCTACAGCCCGATGGCTTGTCAGCCGTGTCCACTGTATTTGGGCACAGTTTCTTTGGACCGGTTCTGTGGTCTCCACCGCATCAGGCAGCCGACCCGCTCCCTGTGGCGGGCGTGTCTCTTTCGGACGTCGTCCAGCGGTTCTGGGAAATTGAGGAGCCGCCACACGCGCCTCGAGTCAACCCTCCGGACCGTGAGTGCGAGTTGTTCTACCAGAACAATACCGGCCGCCGTGTCGACGGTCGCTTTGTCACCCGCTTACCCTTTCTTGACTCACGGCCTCCTTTGGGCCAATCTCGGACCATGGCCGAAAAGAGGTTGCTTTCTATGGAGCGCCGTATGCGTCGCGACACAGCCTTTCGCGACAAGTATGTCGAGTTCATGCGCGAATATCAAGAGCTGGGTCACATGTCACCTTCTCATTTCGACTGGCGATCACATGAACACTACTTCCTCCCCCACCACGCGGTTTTGAAGTCCCCTGGGAGTAAGATTCGGGTGGTTTTCGACGGCTCCGCCCCCTCGTCCAATGGGGTGTCCCTGAACCAGTGTCTCCACTCTGGTCCTAAATTGATCAAGGACATATCCGACATTTTGACCCACTTCCGTCGGCATCAAGTTGTTTTTGTAGCCGACATTCGGATGATGTTTCGACAATCAGTGGTCCACCGTGATGACCGTCGATATCAGCTGATCCTGTGGCGCGAGAAGCCCAGCGATCCGATACAAGTGTTCGAGTTGAACACCACCACCTATGGACTCCGATCCAGCCCGTATGTCGCTATGCGAACCCTCCTCGAACTCGCTGAGAGAGAGCGCCTAAGATACGCTCGGGGGGCTTCTATTTTGGAGACCTCGGTCTACATGGACGATATTTGTACGGGTGCCTCCACCGTCGAGGAGGCTCTCGTATTGCGAGACGAATTGATTGCCATCCTGAAGTCGGGAGGTTATGAGCTGCGCAAATGGTTGTCGAACTCCCCTCATATTTTGAAGGACCTCCCTGGAGAGGATCAACAAGACCCTCATCTATTCGAGCACCCTGACAATCCTAATTTGTTGACTGTGCTTGGCATTCAAT